ATTATGCCTATTGATTCGTATAAAGAAAAAGTTTAACTGTTTTTAGTTAGTTTGACTTGGGGAGAGGTAATGTGGGGTCTTTTGTTTACACAAAAATCAGGATTTTATTGACCCATTCTTCTACCTTAATCAGGTCAGGTCTCTCCCAAAATCAAATGAGATTTCAAGAGATCTATCTCATGGCTCCACCACTCTTTTAGTCTTTGCTTTTACACAATCAATCTTAGCTACACTTGGTCCATTTTCACCTACAATTTGGCTTCCCTCTTTGGTCAATATAAAATCAAGACTTAGATTGAAAGCTTCTTCTAAGTCTCTCGTTCACACTAATTGGTGTTAAGGTGTATTACGTTATTTATGTGTTAAAATAATATATAGCACTATCGGTCACATGAGTAATACCACAAATCAATAAACCCCAAGGGTTTTGTCTAACGGTAAAAAACGTTTGCTCCTTTCATTGATCTTCTAGATTCGAATCACCTTATGGCAACTTACTATATTTGTGACTTACTGAAACATTGAACTTGAAATCACCACTAGGTGGCTTGATAGTAAAAGAGTAAAAGGGTCTAACATGAATTATTGAGTTGGAGTTTTCTCAGGCATTACTAGAGTAATATAAGTGACCACTAAGAGGATTTACCAGATCATTCACTTCAGGGCCTCGAATGATTAGTTGAGGTATGCGCAAACTGACCCAAACACTCCTGATCATTAAAAAAAAAACCCACAAATCAATGCGCATGGTATGTATATATATACATATACATATATATATATATAACAAATACGAAACATAGTAGCAAAACTAAAATTAAGGAAATATAAATTTAATGAAATGGTATGTTATGATTAGTGTTGCTTACAAAGTAGCAACACAAATCCTTTATAGAATTGATGTGTAATGCAACGTTAAGGTGCTTTAGGGAAAATGATGGCGGAAAAATTAAAAAGAAAAAGAAAAGAGACAAGTGCTTTAAGAGTTGAGAGAGTGATGGAAAAAGTGGTTAATTAGGTAGGAATGTGGATTAGGGTGTTAATTAAAACAAGAAGATGGATGTAACGGAATTCGTGACATTAGTTAGGGTAGTTATAAACTTATAATATAATAATAAAAAAAAAAGGGCACATGAATTTGATTAAATGCCGTGCATGACCCGCTTTATATCAACATCAGAATCTCCTTGTTGTACAAGAACAAATTATGCTTTTGTTTAGTCATGCTCCCTCCAAAAATTATGATCCCTAAATCTCCTCTTAAAGATTTTTTCACTATATTTATCATCAATCAACGTATTATATGCACTTCTCTTGGACCATATGCAAACCTGTTTTTTGAGTATGAGATACATTATTTCTTAATCTGATAGTTTTTCATATCTCAATATTGTGTCAAAACTATATATTAGTATATAATTGCCTCTAGGTGGTCAAATGATTGGACATGACTCTTCGAGTGTATGTGCAAGTTGGTCTTGAGTTCGAGTCAGCTCAATTATTAATAAAGATGATCATTAGAAGGTATACTCGACCCTTAATTTTAAGGCCTCAAGAGATTAATCAAAGTATGTGTAAGCTGGCCTTTGGACACCCCAATCACAAAAAAAATATATATATATATATATATAACGAATTTGATACAATTACTTTTTTCGCTGTTTTTTGTTGCAATATTGCATATTTACTACAATGTTATTGGATAATTTCTCGATGCATGTCTTGTGTAGCAAGACATCAATTTTTTGTATTTTTTTTTTTTTGGTAGTATTACTAATCTAAGTGTGCATTTCTTAGCTAATCATGGATTTGTACAAGCCCCGATTGTTTTTAGTGAAAAAAGCGTTTGATAATCTATTCTTACCCATGACAATAGACACCAAAAGAGCCTAAATTAGCGTAGTGGTGGTGTGAAATGTCAAATGTGAATTCATATTTTGATCCAAGTCCAACTGTGATTATAAAATGGGTACAATGTTAAAGTAAGAAGTGCTTTGATTTCGGCAAAATGATTAAATTGATTGGAGTCAAAAGTTTAAGAATAGTTATGTCAAAACATTAATGTCTAGTCGGAGGGAGACTTCTACTATGTGAGTTGATTTTTAAGCCAATATTATACTATTATTCATCGAAGCATTCAACACTCAGCTTTTAATTCCTTTTTATTTTTTATTTTATCTCAGATATTAAAATTAATTTACATATAATTTAACTAATTTTTTAAAATTTTAAAACCATAAGACGAATAAGAGTTTTAATAACCACTTATATTAATATCATATTAGTATAGAGATGCTCAAATTCAGAAACTTATGAAATTTTATTTTATTCTTTTAACATCCAATCACCCAATGGTTATTAACTCTTCAATTCCTCGTGTACCACACTTAAAACAAAATCTTTATTTCCATCATAATTGATTTGTCAAACTATACATGTGAATGCAATAGTTGTATCTGATATTCCAGTTTGTTTAAATCATTTAGTGATGTCGGTTACATTATAACAAAATATGTCTTAATCACTTAGCTTAAGATTGCATTTATTTGTTTCTTTTTACTTTTATTCAAAAGAGTAGTATTATTGTATTCAATTTTCTCTTTTCATATTATATAAGTCAATACGCGGCCCCAAAATTTATGCAAGAAAATTAAATAAGTAGATATTATCTTAGTTTATATCTGGGAAAATCTTTAATCATTTGCAATAAAAATGCCCAAAATCATAAAATTATATATCCAAGGGTTGTAGTAGTTGGATTTGGAGCCATAAAAAGGTCCTAAAATTAAATGATCCCCAAATTGATTGGGATCATCAAATGCACAAATTTATAAATTATTCAGTTTCCTCTTTATACAACACATACTTTATTCTTAAATTAAATCTCTCGTAAAGTGGAATTTGAATCATTTGGGATCAGATTATTTTATTTTTATTAAAAACTTTGCAATAAATATTTCTTATTAATTAATAATTATATATTTCATAGAAGCTTATACAAACATCTATGTTTATTTTAAACATTTCAATCAAATATTTAACTTAAAAAAAAAAAAGCAATTTAATTGGATGAAAGAATCAAAAGGCAAAAGACTTATTGTGGTCAAAGTCTATCTTGGAGTGGGAACCACGAAATATGAAGGGCACGCTCGACACGTTATAAACGTAAGTGGTAAAATGGGAAAAAGAAAAAGAGTAGGGGAAAAAAGGGAAAGGAAAGAAAGAACACATGAAAGATTTGGTGGCATGACTTAAAACTCCCTCACGCTCACCCTTTGATCCATGATTATTATGATTATCACTAAATCTTTCTATAGGCCCCACTCCAACGAAACATCAAATCAAACCCACATGGATTTTTCAGGCCTGGTAATGTTCTCTTCTCTCTCACTCTTACTCTTCTTTTGTTTTCAGGCAAATCTTAAAGATTCCTTTACAGAAAACATTGACCCAACTCTCTAACTTTTTCTTTATTTGTTTATTTTCCTTTTTAATTGTCATGTCAAGAGACAAGAACCAAACACAATAACAATGTTTATATAACCTCACATTTCCATACACGTATCATGCCATGCTTTAAAGTTAAAAAACACAAATGCTTATACTTCCTGATTTAATAAAACATTATTATTTATAACCATTTATAAAATCTTAAGGTACGTTCTTTTTTTTTTTTAATTTTATAATAGAATTTGAAATGAGTTTGATTCCTTATCCAATAAAGTCTTATCGAGTAAAGAATCAGACTTACCTCAAATTCTATCATAGTATTAGAGTTAGGTTCAGTCGAGTTGAGTGCTTAACCAGCGGGTGAAGAGTTAGAGCCAGCAATTACCTCCGTTAACAAGTATGACCCAATATATGGGCTTGACAGTGAAGTGAAGTATTGGAGTCCCATAACACTCCATCAACAGACATGACTCAACGTATGAGCTTAACTATGAGAGAGAGTATCAGAGTCCCATATTGATTAAGCACGCTCAAGTCTACTTGTTTATAAGAGAGAACAATTCTCTCATTCAACAAGACCTTATTGGGTGAAGAATCAAACCCACCTCAAATTCAATCAGAAACTAACAAATTTTGTCTATATTTAATCAAAATCTCAAGAAATAATTATGAAATTAAAAGAAAAAAAACATACAAATAGAGTGGTGTTATTTAAACCCCATCTAAACTTTCAAGCCCCAAAATCAATTAAATTTAAATAAATTTTATTTATTTAAAAATTAACCTTTTCGTAGTCCTTTATAACTTTTATACTTTCCTAATTTTTTTTTTGTCTTCTTTCTTGATCCTTTTAACTTCTCATTTATTTAAGATTAATAAATAACAAAATAAACAACATATTTGTTTAAAAACAAATCCTTTCTCATTTTTCCAATCTTGTTTTTGTTTAATTTATGGGTTTCCCATAACTGTTTCTAAATCATGAATTTTTAAGAAAGAAAAGAAGTTTATAAAGATTAGGAAATTAGAGAAGTTAAAAAGATTAAGAAATAAGATAAATAAATAAAAATTAGAGAAAGGGCAATTTTCAAATAAATTTAAATTTATTTTTTTTCTAATTGATTTTAAGGGCTTAGGAAAAGCTTGGGAAGGTGCTTAAAGAACGCCGCTCAAACAAATATCCAGTTTAAACCTCAGTACGATATATAGGCCCAAATAACGAAAACTCTCTGGCCTGAAACAGTGACGGGTTGAAATAGGCCCAAATAACTAAAACTCTTGGGCCTTAAACAAAGACGGGCTGAAACCGGTCCAAATTAACCGGAAGAAGTCAATTAAACTGTTCCAAGTGCAGTACAGAAAAGTGGAGGCTGAGAAAGCGAGTATACAAATAATGGAAATGACGAAAGTATGCGATTTAGAACCATTTCTGTGAAATTAGTTAATTTCCTGTTGAGTCATATGATTAATTAATAAAAAATTAAGAATGTTTTATTTTAATCAATATATATGTTTTCTTATTGAGATTACTCGTATTAGAAATAAAATATTCCGCCAGTATTGAGCAAAACGACAATTCAATCCAACCACCGCTAATCTGTGAGAGAAAGGTAGGCGAGTGCGGAGCGATCTCGTGCGTGTCTCGCTTCTTATTGGCTCCCTTCTGACTCGCCATCAGATAAGCCTTTGAAGGTAAGATTTTCTGTCCGATTTTCCTTCATTTTATCGTCAACCATTCAGAATATCATAATTCTGTTTTTAATTTAGTTGTAGAACTACCTGTTGTTCGACCTCAACACGCTCGCTGTACAGAACCGAAGTGCATTCATGGCTTCGACGGTATTTCACTCGCCGTGTGCTTGTAGTGCACCTTCAATCAAGTCTTTGGATGGCCAAAACTACGTCGGCCTTAAGCCGTCGGCTAATTTAAGGTTCAAATTCAGTTGTGTTAAAACAACTGTCAAGGCGCGTGAAAGTCAACGTCTATTTATCGTAAGAGCAGGCGAAACGCACGATGGACAGATTAAGAAACTTGGACTGAGTGATGCGGAATGCGAGGCTGCCGTCGTGGCGGGGAATGCTCCAGAAGCGCCTCCCGTGCCACCTAAGCCCGCCGCGCCAGCTGGCACCCCGGTGGTTCCTTCGCTTGTGAGTTTCTTTGTCATTGTGATAATGTTCTGTTTGATAAAATGTTTAATTCAGAAGGACAGTTATATGATTTGAATTGCATTGTTATTTTGTTTTGTTGATTGATATTGCTTCGTGTAGTCTTAGCCACTTAATCGGCGCCCTCGTCGTAACCGAAAGTCCCCTGCATTGCGAGCATCGTTTCAGGAAACAGATCTCTCTCCTGCGAATTTTGTTTATCCATTATTTATTCATGAAGGTATTAATTATGATTGTTGATATGTCTTTTGTAGTTCAAGTTTTTAATTAAATTTTGAAACATGGCCGTATGCTAGTTTGCATGATTAATGTTCCGAGGTTTGCAGGTGAGGAAGACACACCTATTGGAGCTATGCCTGGATGCTATAGACTTGGATGGCGACATGGGCTTGTGGAGGAGGTGATTAAGCTTTTGACAATCCTGCATATTATTTCCATGTAGAAAGAAAAAATTATTTCGCATTTGTGGTCTTGAGCATTGGTTCTATGTTAAACTTTTGGGTATTTTTATAAATTACTGTTTTGATTTGTTGTTATCATTGGGGCAAAGTTTAGTGCCTGCTTCTGGCAAAATGTGTGGAGCAGACTGGAATGAGTATTTCACTTATACACCTACTTAAAGAATTGGCAGATGAATTTTGAACTTAAATTATTGTTTGATGCAGGTAGCAAAAGCTCGGGACGTTGGTGTCAATAGCATTGTGCTCTTCCCCAAAGTTCCTGATGCTTTGAAGGTGTCTATTCTCCTTCTAGGTTTCTCTTTTGCAATCTAGAGTATATAAACTTAATTGGTTTTTGCATCTCAGACTCCCACAGGAGATGAAGCATACAATGACAATGGTTTAGTTCCTCGCACAATAAGGCTTCTCAAGGACAAATACCCTGATCTTGTAAGTCAAAAGTCAATTTAGAAGTAACAGGGTTTCTAGACTATGTTTTTGAAACTGTGATGATCTGCTTGACTAATTAATTTCTTATCAGGTTATTTACACTGATGTTGCTTTAGATCCATATTCCTCTGATGGACATGATGGTATTGTCCGAGAAGATGGTGAGTTTTTAATTATATTTTTGTATTTTTAGCAGGATAACTCCCACGTTTTTTGTGGCTGAAGAAAGATGACAAAACTAACACATTTTAGTACTAAACTGTAGGATATTAATACTCATGATGGGTTTTTTACTTTCAAAAGTTTGATCACTTCCTCTGTTTAGGCTGATTGTTTGATGTCTTTTAGGCCATGGTTTTACGCCTTCTTCTGTGTCTGTGTGTTTGAGAGTGAGAGAGGTGTTGACAGATTCTAATATCTCAATTTTTCAGAGATTGGAAGATGAATTGCTAGAGCTAAGAGCAGAAGCCTGTGGCCTATGGGTTGCATTTTTTTTTTGTTGGTCAAATTTGTGTCAGGATAAACTCATTTTCTTAATTAAAGTTTTCATGGAGCGGCTAATTCTACTTTTACCATTTTTTGATGAGGAGATCGCAAATTAAATAAAGTAATTTTTATGATCACAAACAAAATTACTCATTGCTATATTTTCTGTAATACTATGTAGGTGTTATAATGAATGATGAAACAGTGCATCAATTATGTAAACAAGCTGTTTCCCAGGTAATTTGGATAGATTTTCTGCTATTGGAATTTTACAATGTGTTAATGTAGTTAGAAATAGTTGTGAACTCCCTTGAGGTTTTTGAAGATTTATTGGCCTCCTCTTTGGGTGGTGGTGCAGTCATCTATTAAGACCAAATTCCTCTGCAGTCTGAAATTGGTTATTCTTTGTGCTTGAAAAACTACTTTATTCTTGACTTAGAGTTCATTATTACTTAAGTTGCAGTATGGTGTTTCAACTGCTCTAATTAAGCAAATTCTTACTGGTCATCTATAGTTAGTTGATCATTTCATTTCAAAATCTTGTAGGAGGTCCTCTGATTGATGAGAAACCTTTTAGGACGATACACTATATCAATGATGTATAAATTTTTTCTCACTTATGCTTTGTGCTGCATTTCTATGACCTGATATGTTCTCAATTATGCTCGTGTTGTTACTTCTGTACATAGGCTCGTGCTGGAGCTGATGTTGTGAGTCCTAGTGACATGATGGATGGTCGTGTAGGAGCAATTCGGGCAGCTCTTGATGCTGAAGGCTTTCATCATGTTTCCATTATGTCGTATACAGCAAAGTAAGTTGATCGTCTTATTTATCTTCATCATCATGATTTTTGGTATTTCAATTCATGTTGCAATGAAGGGGTGTTTCTTTTCAAACACATACACAAACATTGATCTGAGTAATCCTGGAAAAGAAATACAAAATCAAGGAAGAAAGAAAGAAAGAACGCTTAGGAAAGAGCTGGGGGTTGAGAGTGAGAGTGCAGAGAGTATTAAGTGGACACTTTATTGACCATCAAAATCTGGAAATTTAACTAGTTATCATGATGAGTTTTTCAATGTGTCAAATTCCAGGATTATATGACATTATTTTATCACATAGGAAGCGGTTTGATCTGGAGAGCATTATTCCATTGTTTGTACAATTAATTTGGTTTTTTAGTAACACAGTAATGCTTCATTACTTGCGCGCAAATCTCGTGTGTGTGGATACTTGTGTTTCTGGTTCAACTTTATCCATATTTATTTTCAGTAATTACTACAGAAGCTATTTGTGATCACAAATATTGGGATGGTCAAACACCCCTTTGTATCATTTATCTTCTTCCTCATGCTATCTCGTAGTTGATGGAGTAAATACTATAAGCTGCTTCTGGCATATTTCTTTGTTTGACAAATTGTTTGACCAACCATTGCAGAAGACCAGTAGTTTCTGATAAAATCTATAGTATAGGTGGATATGTTGGTTTTTTTTTTTTTTTTCATCATGGTGAGACGAAAATGTGCGAACTTTGTCATCTTTTCTAACACTTCCATTCATTTTGTCTTGCAAACAGGTATGCAAGTTCCTTCTACGGTCCATTTAGGGAGGCATTAGACTCGAATCCACGTTTTGGAGACAAGAAAACGTATGTATTCATTATTAAACTCCATGGTTAACTTTTTAATTTAGTGTTTATGGAACTCACTTTTGTTCATTAATTTGGCTTGTTATCATAAGTTATCAGATGAATCCAGCAAACTACAGAGAGGCTCTAGTAGAAGCCCGTGAAGATGAATCTGAAGGAGCTGACATCCTTTTGGTTAGTATTTGCTTCTTTTGGAATCTTTTGAATATTTTAAAGGCATGACCTCCGTTATGCTGAAGTTACTTCACATTGGTCACAGGTGAAACCTGGTCTTCCTTATTTGGATATCATAAGGCTTCTCAGGGATAAATCTCCTCTGCCGATTGCTGCATATCAGGTATTGTCAGAAACTTTTTTTTTTTTTTAATCTACTATATTTAAATGTTGCATCACCTAAAAAATTTGTATTGTCCTGTCAAGTTATGATATGATTATTGGAGTACTCACTGGACATGATCTGCAAATACATCTTTCAACCCCTCCACCATGTAAAATGATTGAAAATATCCAATTGTCCTGTAGGATTAAGGTTCAAAATGAAAAGATAAAAGAAACATATAATATAATGACAGTATAGACATTTCTTGGTGTGATCCTTCCTTTGTTGTACGCCAATGGAATAACCTTATAAATAGCCTTTTCTATTAACTCATTCTACGATACCTGCTTCTTTGTTTTACTCACCTTTCTTTTCGAGTCCATTTATTTTAATCTTTGATTTCATAATACCAGGTTTCTGGTGAATACTCAATGATCAAGGCTGGTGGGGTTCTCAAGATGATCGATGAAGAGAGGGTTATGATGGAATCATTGATGTGCCTCCGAAGGGCTGGTGCTGACATCATCCTCACATATTTTGCTTTACAAGCTGCTAAAAGTTTATGTGGTGAGAAGAGGTGAGAATGGTCTGATCAACAAGGACCGGCTGTTAGTCATTAAATAGTACTAGCGGCATCTTTTTTGGTAATTGACACTAGAAAAAGTTGGGAGTTTTGACTGAAATAAATTAATAAGTCGGTTTGCGATATGCTGTGTCATAAAGTTGAAGTAGAGAATGTTATTACATTTTGTGTGTTTGCAGTATTAGTTTATGACTGAACTTCCAAAATGAAATAAACATGCTAGTAAGTTTATGTTGAAAAATGGCTTTTAGCAAAATCACATGGGGTAGAAGTGATAATGGAGAAAGGTTTAGGGACTTATATGTAATAGGCCAAAATGAGTTAGTTTGTCCCACATTGAAAAGGAATGAAAAGTGGGAAACTTTTGGGGCCTATATATAAGGACCTAAATCAATGTTAATTGTATCCCAAGATGTAATTCCATTATACTTCTTTTGTTTAGGGTTCTTTCTTTAAGGACCCTTTAGTTTGTAAGTTTTGTTGTATCTCCCCTTTGTTTTGGGTATTTGTTGTATTGCCCAAATATTTGTAATATTGTTTGGAGATAGTGGAGTTTTCTTTTGCAGCGCCCGAGGACGTAGGTTTCAATACCGAACCTCGTTAATTCCTGGTATTCTTTATTTTTGCATTTAATTTTGGCAATTTATTTATGCTTTATTACTTGTATTATTATATTCAATAAGCTAGCGTTAGAGTTTATGTTTCCGTTGCATAACAGTTTAGTCTGTTTATTCTGCACACAACTGAATGCAAGGTGGGATGAAATATATATTTAGTTGTATTAACATAAAAATGTCACGAACAGGATGAATTTGGTAGTCTGTTAGCCAGCTGCGTTCACCCAGGAGTAATAAAACCTTTGGTTAATATAGTCAATAAAATGAGTTATTTTCTAGTAGTTGAACTTGAATCAAGAAAAACGAGTTAATAGGATTTGCCTTTGTGTTGGCCAGGTTTGTCTTCTTGGGAGTCCCTTTGTCTTGATTCTTTGCGTAAAGTATGTATAATTTTTTTTACCCAAACAGAAATGGGAAACGATGCAGCAACAACCACAGTCGAATTTTGCATCATTAAACCCTCTTAATAGAGCAAATAAAATCAAACTGCAGAATATATAAAACATGCGGTAAGTATTAGTATTACAATTTAAAATTATAGACACAAGCAGAAGATCCTCTACTTCATTTACAATTCCACTGGAAAATCTTGCCCTAGCATATCCCCCTAACCCAAGTACACCGAAAAACAAGGCCGTAGGCCTGACTGCGGAATATTTTGGATCCCCCTAACCCAAGTACACCGAAAAACAAGGCCGTAGGCCTGACTGCGGAATATTTTGGAGCTTAACATTGCCAAGTGCACCGGTAAAAAACAGAGCACATCTTTTGAAGTATTCTCTTGCTTGTCGATTAAAAACTTACCGCATTAGTGGTAAAAGCTACAGCATAACTTCCACGCTCATTCAGATATCTTTCTGCTATAGTAGCATGAACTGCTGCACCTATTGGTAGAACATCTTCATCGATCATAAAATATGGTGAATGGCCTGTGTGTATCGACCCCAATGACTCGTTCCTTATTCCGATGTAGAAGAAAGCTGCTGGAATCACCTCCGAGTAAAAGGAGAAGTCCTCAGCCCCCATCATGGGCGGAACCACCCTGTAGTTCGATGGACCCAACAAATCGGTGGCAACCTTCTTCACATGCTTGTACATATCCTGGTCGTTCACCGTAGGGGGATAGATCTTGGATTCGTTTTTGAAGAAATCAACTGTTGCCGAGCATCTGAAAACACTAGCTTGCTCCACAATGACCTATTTCACATAATGTTGTTAGAATCAGTCGAGTATCTAATAATGAAGTATGACAGAGCAGGACGTTGAGTATGGTTTTTGTGAATAAACCTCTTCTATTCTGCGGAGAAGTTGATAAAAGCTGGTGTTGGAAAAGGCCCTGAGGGTTCCACCAATTATAACTGTATCAGGAATCATGTCCAGATTATTACCTCCATTGAATGAAGTTACTGACACAACCTGTAAGTTAATCATTGTTAGAAACGTAAAGTAAATCCTGAAAGAAAAGAGTCCACAGCAGTATATATAGAGGGTAACCATTAAGAAAGGCAAACCTGCGAGTCCAGCGGATTTGATTCACGAGACACAATGCCTTGTAAGCTGATTACAGCGGCAGAGGCTGCTAAGATGGGGTCAACCGAACGGTATGGGTTGCCTTTTTTTACACTAATTACGGCTCTGAAGAAACCACAACCGGCCAACAAAGGACCTGGCCTTGAGCCAATGATACCAGTAGGATGCTCATGAGATACATGAACTGCAAATATGGCCTCTACATCTTCCAGAGCCCCATCTCCGATCATCTGTTTTGCACCATTTCCAGCTTCCTCTGCTGGTTGGAATATCAGAATTACAGTTCCCTATCATAACAAAATCCAAAATTTATCAGTTAATTGAGTCTACTTATGCCATAAAACTGTACTTTCATAGAAAACTAATCTGTTTTTCTCTTTTACTTTTTTCTGTATAAATCTTCAGGGCAAGTAAGAATTTAAGAAGACCCATTACTCAACCTAAAATGTTCATTCATCAAAGATGTTTTATCATGTAAGAATTAAACTGGAATTATAAAAATTAGATCCACCTAACCCTATCTGTATTAAAAAGTCTTAAAAGCGACTAACATAAAAAGAAGTAGCACCTAACTTTCCATTCATTAATTTAAGATTCATGCATATGAAAAAAGAGCAGTATGACTAAGAAATATGTGACACAACTTTCTCCTTAAATAAACATGTTTGAATTTCAATAAAAATTTTCCGACCCACTCAGGCATTTAACCGATTGTGATGGAAGTTGACACACGTTTGGTTTTTTTCATCCTCAGAACTGGACCAAAATATTAAAAAAAAAAAAAAAAAAAAAATGGGGACCAGCTGGCTATGACCTCCATTACTTCTTTCCTCACCTAAAATGTTAGTCACCCTTTCCATAAAAAGAATATTACATTGGTTTGGTCCCAAGGCATTATTTTATTTTTTCCACGTTTGAAATTGTTGTCTCTATCATATTTCTAACACCACACAACCTTTTAAATATCAAAGATTGCTGTATTTTCATTTGATGATTATGCTTTCTTCAAGAATTCAGGATTCCTTCAACTAGGCGAACAAATCTGAATTTAATCACATGTCTGTTCTGGTCAATGAGAAAGACAAAACAGAGGGTCTAATTATATTATCAGTTTGTTTAGCTAATATTATATACATTAAATTGAATTTGTTCAATCGCATATCTCAACAAAACCTTTCCTTTTTTTTTTGTCTGGGTCAGTTTACGCGCACCTCAATCAATCTTCCGGGACCTCGGAACTAAGTCTCACCAAAACTTGTCTTACTTAAATCCTGTCTAAACGCCCCCTGTTTTTGAACTACATTTATGTCATTTACTTAAAAATCTATTATACCCAAATAAGAAATGGTTTAAACAAGATAATATTCTATAAGCCTAGATTAGTTCTCTGGTATTCAGAGACATTTAGAGAGGGCTTAGATATTATTATTATTTTTTTCCATTTCTAAGACAGACCATGTGTGGGCGGTGTGGCATTATGTGCAAGTTGATAAAGAAGAAGACTAGTTCAACAACTATTTCATTTTCAGCTAACATCACACTTTCATTTAGGCCCCATTTTTCCTGTGAATTTATTCCTTATCACACAATTATTAAACCACACAAACAACACAAGCAAATATGCATTGCAGCGTATATATAAAAGATATTTATATCATCTCGCTTCAATACACGTATTATAGGAAGTAGGAATGTCAATTTAATAGTTAAAAAAATAACCATAAAACAAATTGCAACATCACATTCTAACACAAAATGGAATCTTGGACTAATTGGAGGTCATCCCTTTCAAACTTTGGTAAATTTAAGCTAGTCCACACAATGTGATGCCCCATTCAAACATCTAAACACGGTCTGAACTTTGGACTAAATGTTAAAAAAATAAAAATAAAAAAAAATAACAAAGCAAGTAGAGGAATGAATCCATGGGTGAAATGAAAGTAACTTTCATTATCCGGAGGATTAGCGTGGGTTCCATTTCCAAATTCATGGGATTCCCTTTTTTCCAAGTCTTAATCAAATTGAAAGATTTTGAAAGTCGGCATCTACAGATCCACCCTATGAACAACTAGAAATTGGAACCGCCCTACTCTTTCTGTGGTGTCCATCTATGCAGGTGAACTTGTTAAAATTTCTTGCTATTCAAGAACCGACACTTGGGATTTTTTTCTTCAACAAAATACCCAACTATTCATTTAAACTACCGAATATACGCTTCTACCACTTTTAAGAGATAGTATTATTACATGCACCAATTCGTATTTAACATACTCCATTTCATGCTAGGAAAATTGAATGTATACGGATGATTATTTGATTAATAAAATGCACAAGAGTTGATGAAATTATTATTTTTCAAAGGGTGGTCACAACTTAATGTATTTTTCTGATAATACCTATTTTAAATATAAAAAAAAAAACCCTAACCCTCAAAACTTTATTCTTTTTTCTAAAAACCCAAAAGAATAGTGGCAGAAGATGAGATGAAAACAAATTTGGTTGGACGGCAAAAGTGGAGCCAACCGAGCCTAGTAATAGGAACAAAATATGTCGGAATGGTAAGTAAAAAAGTTACATTTAGGAGAGACCCTCATTTGAAGTCCTTTTAACTAAACCAAGAAATGATGGATGAGATGAGGCCCATCCACCCACATTTTGTAAATGTAATAAACTAATAATGTCCCCACAAAACAAATTGATTCCCACCTTCCTATTTTCTTTACCCTAAAGACTCTGCCATTAATGTTCCACAACCCACCTATATATCTAGTTTAATCAACTGCCCTAATTGATTCCCAACAATGGGCCATGTTCATTATTTCATATATCTACATTTACCCTATCTTCAATCTTCAAAACATTATGGTAATACTAGTAGTAATTGGTGTTAAAAATAGCCCAAAGTTGCAGAAACAGAAGTTAGTAGAAAGCCTGGTTTTGCACAAAATTTGCAGAGTAAATAACGAACCTGCAAAAGATGTTCGCGACTCTTCAAGATCTTGGCAGCACCAAGAAGCATTGTTACATGTGCATCGTGCCCACAAGCATGCATTTTTCCCGCAACTTTGCTCTTATATTCCCACTCAACAGCTTCCTAAAAACGTACAAGTTCAACATTAGGGGCTCTCTCTCTCTTATCAAATTAATATTTGACCTAAAATTCTTGGAAGGCAAATCATTGAAATAAAGTTTACTTTAATCCCTTTTTGTGTCATTGTGTAAAAGACAACTTGGATCAGATTTTCTGCTAACGAAAGTACAAACTATAAAATACAAATTTAAGTATATTCTGAAATAACTTACTTTCTGACACCTGAATGATTAATATTACTTTAAAAAGATGAAAATAAATAAATAGTACACGACATATCCGTAATTCCATGTCAATGTTAAAAAAGGATTTAGAAAAATAATCACGAGTTAGATTTATGCTTCCAATGCATAAAGATTAGTTTTCGTTTATGTTTGTTCCCTTGTATAAATTGCAAACGTGTGAAGGCATGAAGTAAAAAATAATAAGAAACAGAAACCTAATTCCACTCTTTACCAAAAAGAAAAAAAAAAAATTACAACTTGAGACATTATGAGATCCCAAAAAAGAAAAAACAATTAATCCCCTACCAACTTACCAACACGCATGCCCATATCTATATTTATACATGCACATGCACATGGATGATTATGTATGTATATCATAAACTGTTCTTTATGGAAATTAATTCAATAAGAAAAAATTAAAAATTAATTAAATAAACCTGAATAGGAAGTGCATCCATATCAGCTCTGATGGCCACAAACGGCGGGCCTCCGGTCCCAATCGAGGCCCGAATACCCGTTTTGGCCAACGGATATTTATATCCAATCTCCATCCGATCCAACTCGGCCCGAACCAACTTACTTGTTTCATATTCTTCAAAAGCAAGCTCCGGGTGCTGATGAATTCTTCTCCTCACACTTTTCAACCAGTCAACGTTCTCGGGGCGGCGAGCCAGACCCAGCACCTCCTCTGAGCAGGCCCGTCCCCATACCTTGCAGACCGAAAACGTCGGCCGTGAAGTGCACGATTTGCTCTTGTTGTTGCCAGATTTCAAAGGCGTTGAAGCGAGAGTGTTTATGTCAAAGAAAGTATATTGGTTTTGTGAGGGGGTTATGCTTAAGGATTCGACATGCAAGAAAATATTGTTTTGAAAGAGTGTTAATATTATTATTGAGATGGAGAATGTAAAGGAAAGGTTTAGAAAATTCATGTTTGGGGAGAAAGTGAGAAAGAAAATTCAAAGAAAGGAGTGAAGACGAAGTAGAGAGAAGGAAATAGAAAACGAAAGAAATAGAGGGGAGAGGAGGAGAGAATTAGAACACGTGGGGATAAAGGAGGTCGGGGGAAATAGTCACGTGGAAGAATATGAATGAAGAGTGATGAAAGACTAGTTGATTAATCATCGAATCGCATCGGTTACGAGGGCCCCACCACTTGCAATTGCGGTATTCAATTAGACAGATTGATACTCCTCCTTTGTTTTTATTTTATTTAAATAATTCATTTCACATGATTATTCTTAGTGAATATTTTGCTTAATTTTTTAAATTAAAAGGGATTAGAAATATTTTACTATAAAAAAAATCTGCTTTTTTCTTTTTAATAAAAAGTTATTCGCATGAGGGTACTTTACGGAATCTGACCTCAATACAGTAAACCACGTTTAGGCCTTAAAAATAAGTTTAACGAATTATGTGAAGTGAGTGAGTGAGCAAGTGGGATTTCGTAAGCTACTATTTTTTAAATCACCAATAAGAATAAGTAACTTAAACCTTTTCACCATATATAATCAATTAATCAATTAAGCATTAAGAAATGAAGCCTTGGATGCTTATCAATATTTACATAATCATTCCTTTTGACTCCCTAATATTAACCTTTAATGCATTACACATTTATCATGTTTAAGTATTATTATTTTATTGACCATAAAAATCTAAAAGAAACAAGTGTATTGAGAGTTAAAAGCAGGAGATGATACAAAAACCATGGATGAAATTATATTAAAATGAGATTTGAGGTCTTTGTTGGAATTATGAGCAAATTAAATTTATTATTTACCATTAAAGAAACATATTATTTGCATTTCATTTTGTACTTCAACAGTCTCGTCTTGTGGACCAAATATGTTTCTAAAAAGTATGGGGAGTTAACGACTTTTTCTCACCTAAATAATGACATTTTCTCATCCATAAATTTTTAAAATACCACTTTCTCACCCAAAAAATACGCTTTCCGATTTGGCGGTGAACAAAGAACAAATTCGATCCATTCTTTTGGGACTTTTGAAAATGGAAGGTTGGTAAGTTTTTTGGAGATGGAAGATTTGATTTTGATGGTTGTGATTGGTCAGAATTTGACTTGAGATAGGCAATTGCGTAAACCCTAATCACTCGATTGTCGATGATTGATGAGGTCGAAGGGAGCAAGGTTTGAGGGGTTTTGGTGGATGATAATCGTAGAAGAGAATAGTGGTGGTATGAGATTGACAGGAAAGTGTTATTAAATATATATTTTTAGAATGAAAATGTGATATTTTAAAAGTTTGAGGATAAAGAAGTGTCACCAAACTATTATTTGGGTGGCGAGAAGTTGTTTACTCAAAGTAGGACCAAAAACACTTGTTCGTATTGCCTCAACCTCACAAATCTCAGAATTAGTACAAGACCAAAAGTACGGAATTTTACTAAGATATTTTATTAATTATTATTGAATCACAAAATTAAAAAAAAAAAAATTTGATAAAAGTAATATCTGTTTGAAAATAATTTAATAAAATCCTTGAAAAATCTTCGAATTGGAGGCTTTTTGACGGTGCACGCGGTAGCGGTGGCCGTCCAATCGCATTGACAAATTGTTACTAGCTAAAAGCCTAAAACAAGGTTATTAGGGTAGAGGTGGACTATTTTTTTCCACCTCTTGATATATATATATTTTTTTTTATAGTCAGAAAGTGTTTTTAGCCACATAAATTGCTTTTTCTTGGCAGTTACTTAAGTTGAGATATTGAATAACGTGTAAAAAATTTTCCAATTGAAAGCATGAGTTCAAGGCTTTTTGACTCGGCAAGCATTTAAAACGTGCCAATTAGCTTTCTTATGTAACTTGAATATTATAAGCCATTGCGTAACAATTATGTCATTCCAAAGTCAATACACAATAATTCCTTTTTACATTTAATTAATATTTGGACATATAGTACGTATAAGTGTAACCTACACTGAAAGCACTAACGCATGGATACAAGTATTAAAAAAAAGTAAAATCTAATTAAGATACTTTGTCGGTTCAATTAAATATAATATTTAATTGTACTAAAAAGTAAAATTATATACGGGTAGGCCCATGAATATGATCGCGCTCACTGCACAACGTATCAGGTGAATGAAAACAAAAATGAATTCCGGATAATAAAACTGCAACATGTTGCCAGAATCAAGAAACAAAATTACAGAAGCCACCGCTACAATCTCAATGCATGTGAAACATTTAGTTATTATTATTGTTATTTTTTTTTATAGGAGGAAAAGGTAATTAACTATTTGTAATTGCAAAGCTGTGTGCTTGCTCTGAGTATGCATTAGTTCATTCTGTGTTCTCCACTGCAATTTCTTGTCGTGTTATGGCAAAGATTTCGTCTTCTTTATATCGCAAATAACAAAAGGAAAGACATCTATTTTTTAATTTTCTTTTTACATCAGAGCTGTCATGATAGATAATAAAGGAATATGTTCATGGAATTAATTTTTTTTTTATTTGTTTTATGGTATTTAGGTTAATTTACGTGCACTTTAACTAATCTCTTGAGATCCGATAATTACCAACCGAATAAGAGTTACAGTGACTATCCCTATTAATAATCGAACAGGGATTTAAACTCAGGATCTCTTGAATAATACACTCAAAAATTTATATCAAACTATTCGATCACTTAAAGATAATTAATTTTGTTAGACTTTAAGATGATAAAATTAAGAAAATTGTGAACTAATCATCTTATAATTCATTAAGATGAGATAATTATTAATTAACACGAACATAATCATCTATGATGTTGTAATAATATAATAATTAATTAATAACTTAATGGAAAGTCGGTCCCCTTAAAATCGGCTTTTGATATTGATAATGGAATAAGAACCTAGTACAAGACAAGCAGTGAAATTGCTAAGCCATCACAGTCATCAGTCATTACATCCACTGTTTATATATATTTTATTTGGATTTTATCAACCCACTGATTCTTTTATTTAATTATAGTAACAGAAACCATGATCTCTTTATTCCTTATATTAATTAATAAAAATAAAAAAAATCCTAAAGGTGATTATAGCGAAGGATAATATTTAACCATTGGAAGGGCAATTTCAAGTATCGTGGGGCACAAAATATCATCATCACCATTAAGTGGTACTAGTTATTTTATGATAGTCCAATAAATTAGTATTATAAATGGTTCAATCACATGGTCTGAAATAATTTTGATTCTATTTGCTTTAAGAATGTTATGAGTTATGTCACTTCCTTGGATACCATCAAAGACGGTAAAAATAGTGTAATCTTATGTCAAATCTTGTTTATTCATTATTAAATTCTCCTTTTCAATCACATGATATTCACTTAAAACTGGTTATTTTACATTGGGTTAAAAAATGGATTATAAATATAAATTTTAATTGTGAAATAGAAGGGAAGAGAAGAGAGAAAAATGATTCATTAGAGACTCTTTGGTGTATTATTCAAGAAGTTTTGAGTTTGAGTCATTTCTCGAGTGCTAATAGGGATAATCACTATTACTTTTATTCGGTCGATAGTTTTACAGCTCCAATGATTAGTTGAGATACGCATAAACTGATATGAACACCTCCAGTGAAAAATAAATAAATAAAAAAGAAAAATAAATGGGGTTTTATAGTGGAAGTAAGATCGTCCAATTGAAATCTGACTCTAAAAATACGGTGTTTTTAAGTAATTATTTAAATTTCCGATGTAAAATATTTTGATAATGTAATACAGAAGGTGAATCAATTATTGAATCGTTGAAAAGTAAATATATGATAAGTGAGGTCAATTTCAAATCGAGTTGGAGAGCGACCCAAGTGATGTGTTAATATTACTGTAGTTAAACGTATTTTTTACTTTATCTTAAACATCATGTTGATTTTAATTAAGTCCATTCATTAGTTATCACATTATTGCTAATTGAGTTATAGGATTATAACACAAGGCAAAGTGTAATTGACGGCATCATCAATCAATTGAAATATAATGAATGTCTATCACTTGTTAAAGTTATGGTCCTTGCTGTCTATGACAAAAATCTTATAAAGCATGGTTTTTTTCTTACGTTCACATGTCAATTTCATTTGTTTAATTTTTTTTTTAACATAATTAAATTTTAAACTACAAGAAAAGTAAACCATATTATAAAATAAAAAGGGAAAATGCTTAATTTAATTAACTTATTATTATTTATATAATAGTATGACTGGGTTATGATGAATATACAAACACCCTTTTGGATCTGAAAAGTATGATTATGCTTTGAAATAATAGTACTTACTAGGGGTGTAAACGAGCTGGACCGAGTATCTAGCTACTCGAGCTCAGCTCTGTTGCTACAATATTGAGCTCGAGCTCGACATCAAATAGGGAAGCTCAAGCTTGGGCTCGAGCTCGACACAAGCTCAAACAACACCTGCTTGATCCAATCCCAAACCACTGAAAGATGTCATTTTTTGTTTCAAAATCATATTTTTTTGAGGAAAATGAAGAAGTTCTTCATCCCGCCTCGCCGCCTCGACCTAATGATGTAGAAATAAGTGCCGGTGAGTTGTCGCATTAGTCCTATCGTAATCATCATAACCAACCCATATTTTGTAAACAAAAGTTGAACAAAACTCTCCAAGATTGAAACTTTTGTGGAAAACCATATGCTTCAAGAACCCCATTTTTGGTCAAACTTGCTTATTCATCACCTAGACGGAAAGGAAGCTATAGTCATAACATCGTTGAAAACCACCATCAACTAGACCTAATGGCTGAGAATGAGGGCAAAAAGGTATCTCAGGTGGCAGAAGAAGGTAATTAAGCAATTGAAGAAGACTCAGACAAAGATTCAAGTAACAATATCCCCTAGTAATTAAGCAATTGGAGAAGGCTCAGGCGAACATTCAACTTAAGTGGAACCCATAACGGAGTATGATGCCACAGAAATCAGGGTTTTTTTTTTTTTTTTTTTTAAAAAAAAAAATTAGAATTCGATTTTTAACATATTT